TATCCATTCCTTTTTTTTAAAAAAAATTGGAAATTTCTTTTCCATTATAATTGAGGTTATTATTGAACCATCCACTATTACCATTCTCCTATATTTATTCCATACTTCTAATATATTGCTCAACATTGGATATCTAATTTCCCTAATTTCTTTTCTCGTAAAAAATACTCCAGATTTTTTTCTTCCTTTCTTAGCCATTCTAAACCCTCCTTTTTATCATTCTTTCTAGAACCAATCTCAGTCTGTTTGCTTCATAATGTTTGCTTCATAATATTAGGAAGTGCTAATCCTCCCTCTTTTTGCGATCTGTACCATAACTGTTTGTTTAATCTATTTCTTTTACTACCATTACAATATTTATTTATCATTTGTTGTCATCTATTTAACTCTTCTTCTGTAATCTGAAGTGTCAGCATTCTAAATAGAATTCTAAATTTTTGGAAGTATTTTCATTTTTACTAATGCTAACTTTCCAAACCAAGATAAATATAAATTTTCAAATTTTTGAACCACTTTTTTCAATGCTACCACGTTTACCTCTTCCATTTATTTTAAGTCCTTTGTTGTTATTACTCCCAGGTATTTTAATTTATTCTTAATTCTAATTTCCATTTTACTCTGTTGTATAAAGTATTTTTCTTCTTTCTTTGTATAATTAAATAACATCATTTCTGATTTATTCCAATTAATTTGTAAACCCATTGTTTTTCCTAATACCTCTAAATGATCTCTTATTCCATCCATTTTACCTACCATGTTTTCAATAAATAGCAATGTATCATTGGCAAATAAGCTCACCTTCTGCTTTTCCCTTCTAAGTCCTTACCTTTCCTAATGGCATTTGCAAATAATTCTATCACCATGGCAAACAAAAATTGTCGTTTCCCTTGTCACTTGTATTTCTTTTATCAACCCGTCATTTATCATTACTACCGCCAAGTTTCTTGAATATTATTATTCTAGTTTTTATTTTTTTTTGCTTCCCATTCCAAATTTGTTCATAATCTCCCTTAATGGCCACACAGTCAAAAGCTTTAAATATATCTAATTATAGTACCCCTACTTTTATCTTTTTCTCTTGAACCGCAATAAATTTTATTAATAAATTTTATTTATTACTCTCCCTAACAAATTTGACATTTGTCTTCCTTTTACAAACCCACAATGATCTTTTTTATATACTTGCATTTATTCATTCTATTGGCTATTATAGCAGATAAAATCTTTGCATCCTGATATGACCCTGGGTCTGTTAAAAAAAATTAGGTTTTGGTATTAATATTACTAATGTCTTCCTTCATGATTCTCGTATTTTCTCTGCTTTCATAATTCCATTACACACTTCTAATAGTTTTGGAATCAGTACTTCTCTAAAACTTTTATAATATTCTATTTCCAGACCGTCCAGACCTGGAGCTTTCCCAGCTTTTAAATTCTTAATAACTTCCTCTTTTTCCATCTTCTTAATAGGTTGTTCCAATAGTTCTTTGTCTTTCTCCTCCATACATATCTATCCTCCCCTATTTCACCATATATTATTATGGTGAATCTGGGAAATCAGCTTGAAAGCACCTGGATAAGAATCAAGGGAGCTGGGACTCAAAATGTCGTTGTAGGCGTCTACTACAGACCTCCAAGCCAGGAGGAAGGACTTGATGAAGTCTTCTGCTAACAGTTGACCAAACAGGCACAGAGAAGAGATGTAGTAGTCATGGGCAATTTCAACTATCCCGATATTTGCTGGAAAACCAACTCGGCCAAGAGTACAAGGTCCAACGAATTCCTCGCTTGGCTTGCAGACAATTTCATGGTCCAGAAAGTAGAAGAGGCAACAAGGGGATTGGCTACTCTTGATCTCATCCTAACAAATGCGGAGGACCTGATCGATGTGGTCGAAGTGGTAGGATCCTTAGGGGCAAGTGACCATGTGCTCCTGCAATTTGAGGTACAAAGGAAGGCCGAAACTAAGACAAGTCAAACCCGCATTTTGGACTTTAGGAGAGCTGATTTCCAAAAAATGAAGGAAACGCTGAGCAGCATTCCGTGGACACAGATACTAAAAGACAAGGGAGTTACGGATGGATGGGAATTTCTCAAGAGTGAAATACTCAAGGCGCAATTGCAAACCGTGCCAACAAAGAGAAAAAATAGGACAAGTGCAAAGAAGCCAGAATGGATGTCCAAAGAACTTCTAACTGTGCTAAGACACAAAAGAGACATGCACAAGAAGTGGAAAAAGGGAGAAATCACCAAAGAAGAATTCAAACAAATAGCCAACACCTGTAGGGAAAAGGTCCGCAAGGCTAAAGCAAAAAACGAGCTCAGACTTGCCAGGGACATTAAAAACAATAAAAAGGGCTTCTATTCTTATGTCAGTAGAAAAAGGAAAAAGAAGGAGGCTATAGGACCTCTTCGAGGAGAAGATGGGGCAATGCTGACAGGGGATAGGGAAAAGGCAGAACTACTTAATGCCTTCTTTGCCTCGGTCTTCTCACAAAAGAGAGTCTTCAACCTCAGCAAGATGGAGTGGATGAGGGATTGGAGGACATCCAACCCCAAATTGGGAAAGAAGTCGTCCAGGAATACCTGGCCACTCTTAATGAGTTCAAGTCCCCAGGGCCAGATCAACTACACCCCAGAGTATTGAAGGAACTAGCGGAAGTCATTTCGGAACCATTGGCAACCATCTTTGAGAGTTCTTGGAGAACGGGAGAAGTTCCAGCAGATTGGAGGAGGGCCAATGTGGTCCCAATCTTCAAGAAGGGAAAAAAGGATGACCCAAACAACTACCGTCCGATCAGCCTCACGTCGATACCGGGCAAGATTCTGGAAAAGATTGTTAAGGAAGCGGTCTGCAAACACTTAGAAACAAATGCAGTCATCGTTAATAGTCAACATGGATTTATCAAAAACAAGTCATGCCAGAGTAATCTGATCTCTTTCTTCGATAGAGCTACAAGCTGGGTAGATGCGGGGAATGCCGTGGATGTGGCGTACCTGGATTTCAGTAAGGCCTTCGACAAGGTCCCCCATGACCTTCTGGCAAGGAAACTAGTCCAATGTGGGCTAGGCAAAACTACGGTGAGGTGGATCTGTAATTGGTTAAGTGGACGAACACAGAGAGTGCTCACTAATGCTTCCTCTTCATCTTGGAAAGAAGTGACAAGTGGAGTGCCGCAGGGTTCCGTCCTGGGCCCGGTCCTGTTCAACATCTTTATTAATGACTTAGATGAAGGGCTAGAAGGCATGATCATCAAGTTTGCAGACAACACCAAATTGGGAGGGATAGCCAATACTCCAGAGGACAGGAGCAGAATTCAAAACGATCTTGACAGATTAGAGAGATGGGCCAAAACTAACAAAATGAAGTTCAACAGTGACAAATGCAAGATACTCCACTTAGGCAGAAAAATGAAATGCAAAGATACAGAATGGGCAATGCCTGGCTCGAGAGCAGTACATGTGAAAAAGATCTTGGAGTCCTCGTGGACAACAAGTTAAACATGAGCCAACAATGTGATTTGGTGGCAAAAAAAGCCAATGGGATTTTGGCCTGCATCAATAGGAGCATAGTGTCTAGATCTAGGGAAGTCATGCTACCCCTCTATTCTGCCTTGGTTAGACCACATCTGGAATATTGTGTCCAATTCTGGGCACCACAATTCAAGAGAGATATTGACAAGCTGGAATGTGTCCAGAGGAGGGCGACTAAAATGATCAAGGGTCTGGAGAACAAGCCCTATGAGGAGCGGCTTAGGGAACTGGGCATGTTTAGCTGAAGAAGAGAAGGCTGAGAGGAGATATGATAGCCATGTATAAATATGTGAGAGGAAGCCACAGGGAGGAGGGAGCAAGCTTGTTTTCTGCTTCCTTGGAGACTAGGACGCGGAACAATGGCTTCAAACTACAAGAGAGGAGATTCCATCTGAACATTAGGAAGAACTTCCTGACCGTGAGAGCCGTTCAGCAGTGGAACTCTCTGCCCCGGAGTGTGGTGGAGGCTCCTTCTCTGGAAGTTTTTAAGCAGAGGCTGGATGGCCATTTGTCAGGGGTGATTTGAATGCAATATTCCTGCTTCTCGGCAGGGGGTTGGACTGGATGGCCCATGAGGTCTCTTCCAACTCTTTGATTCTATGATTCTATGATTCTATGATATGTCTACCTTCCTCATCTTTCAATATTTTGTTTATTACAGAGTTACATTTCTTTGCAATTATTATAGCTACACCTCTCAATTTTGATGACACAAAAGATTTTTCATTGCTTCTTATGCAGCTCAATTTTAATTCATTTGATCCTGGTTTATTCTGGTGTGTTTCCTGTAAGAAGATAACATCCGCTGTGTCTTTCTTCAGTAGGGTTTCAATCCTCCTTCTTTTAAATACTGTTCCTAAACCTCTGGTGTTCAGTGTTGATATTCTTAATTTATTGGGCATCATTTCCATTTCCATTTAAAAATATTTGGTGGTGGCTTGATTCCTTGTGAACCCTTGTTCCTTGAATCCCCCTCCCCCTCCCCTCCTTCCCCCTTCCTCCACTTCCATTCTTTGGGACTTATTGTCCCAACCATGGCCCCTGGCCTTCCCAAGTTGGGTGGTGGTGGTGAAATCATCCTGTGGCCCAGAGTCTGTGGCCCAGAGTCCCCCCAGTGCTCATTTAAAAAAAAATAATTTTTGATTGCAGTGCTTCTAAATTTCTTCTTACAGCCTGAGTCCTTCTACACAGCTGAATAAAATCCCACATTATCTACTTTTAACTGGAATATATAGCAGTGTGGACTCAGATAACCCAGGTCAAAGCAGATATTGTGGGGTTTTCTGCCTTGATATTCTGGGTTATATGGCTGTGTGGAAGAGCCCTTAGGAATAAGTCAACTCAAGCTGGTGTGAGGCAGAAATGAAAAAAAAAAGGCATAAGAGCTACTGGGTGCAATCATTCATTGACTTCCACAAAATATCTAAAGCTTCCTTAGATCAAACAAGGTTGTACATTATACATACATCTAAGTTGTTCAGTGTATTGAATTCCATCAGATCATGCAGTCTGTTAAAAGCTTCATTTGGATACTGGAAGTTAAATGTGGAGAATGGTGTATCAGGATCATCAAAAATATCAAATTCTGCAAAATCTTTCTCTTCTTGTGTTTCCCTTGGAACACCTGTGAATAGGTTACAACGGAGAAGGCATTTTAAAATCAGATTGTTCAGCAGAAGAACACTGAATATAAAGTGTTGAAGTCAATTTTAATAGTCTGCAGAGGATCCCTAGGTGGCCTGTGGTTTCTGCCCCAGAACACATCTAGTTTCCCACATACATCTTGTATTTCTGTTCAGCAATAGATTACGAATTCTTTCACCCATGCAATAGATAGTGTCAGTGGAGGTTTTCCTAAATCCCAGTTGCAGCACAGCAATGTAAAAGATGCCCTCCTCCCCCACTGTAATATATAGTGTGGGAAAAACATTTGCAGAGGGTCTGTATGTGACCTTGGATTTATTACTTATCACAAATTCTGGACTGAGCATATGCCCCAAATGCCCCTATTCCTTGATTCTTAGTATAGGTTTGTATAATCTTCCTGCTCTAGGAAATGATGAATAAGAGAAGGCAAAAGATGTCCAGAACGTTATTTGTTTACACAAGTAAACAAAAGGTATGTACATCACTGAGAGAGATACAAAAATCTTTGACTGTTTGGTAAAAATCTTTAAACAATAGAAACTATCATGTTTATAAAAAGATCCTTGTTTTCCCCCCCTACTGACCTGGTGCTTTGTAGTCTCTAAAGTTGATATTGGCTAAAACAAAGTGGATAATAGTTGGACAATCTATGTCAGAAGCAGGATTCTTGGGTCTGAAGATGTAGCACTCCTTTAAACCCTCACGATCAAATACATTTGAGTCTATTTTGGGAAAAGGAAGTTTGTTCATTTTAGCCCATTTTTCAGCCAGTAGAATTTCCTAAGAAAAAAACAAAAACACAATGAAATTTGGCACAGTTATTATTCCTTCTGTACATAGGTGCCACCTAGGGACAACACTTCTCCCATCTTTTTAAGCAACTGTAAACACATCGTTTGTAGAAGTTGACAGATTGTTCCAAAAGCCACTTTGTGACTTCAAAAATAAGAATCTCTTCATTTGAAAAATGCTTGCCCTTCAAAAATAACTTCATCGTTGGAAAGAGGTGGAAGTCCAATGGTTGAAAGTCAGGTGAATAAGGGGGATGCAGTAGAAATGGGAGCATGCTTCCATTTGGGCAACATGTGAGTTGTGAACTGGTGCATTGTCTTGCAGAAGGTGGACACCTTTGGTGACCATGCCACTTCTCTTAATTTTGATGGCGTCCCACAATTTCTGCAGCAATGAAGCATAGTATGCTCCAGTGATCATGGTGCCCTTTGCTAGTAAATCCATCAACATTATTCCTGTCCACCAACATTTATTTATTTATTTCATACATTTATATCCCGCCCTTCTCCCCACAACCATTATACAACATCATCAGTACAATTTAACAATAAATTAATAGATTAACGTGCCAGTAAAACCAAGCCGAGCCGGGAGAATCCAGATTGCAAAATCCAAATTTCCAAATTTCCCTTTCCTATTGCCGCTGGCATCTAATCGAACGCCTGGCCCCAGAGCCAGGTCTTTAGTTGTCTTCTAAAGGACAGGAGGGAGGTGGCCAACCTGATGTCCTTAGGGAAAGAATTACACAGGTGGGGGGCCACTGCCGAGAAGGCCCTGTCTCTTGTCCCCACCAACCGCGTTTGCGAGAGTGGTGGGAGAGCAGGGCCTCCCCTGATGATCTTAAGCTTCGTGATGGCTCATAGCAGGAGATACGTTCAGACAGGTAATCTGGGCCAGAATCGTCAACACAGCAGCCAAGCACCAGTTCAGGACCTGCACAGCCTCATTAGTAACAGGTGGGAAGGAGTGATAGAGCTGAACATCATCAGCGTACAGATGACATCTGACCCCAAAACTCTGGATGATCTCTCGTAGCGGCTCCATGTAAATGTTAAACAACATGAGGACAGTATAGAACCCTGCGGGACCCCACAAGTCAATGGTTGTGGGGATGAGCAGGTGTCCCCCAGAAACACCTTCTGGGACCGACCCTCCAGGAAGGACTGGAGCCACTGCAGAATAGTACCCCCAAGTCCCATATCCATGAGGCATCCCAGAAGGATACCGTGGTCGATGGTATTGAAGGCCGCTGAGAGGTCCTTCGATAGATTTGTTGTTTATTCGATGCTTAGACCATAGGTCTTTCACATACAAGGCAAGGCAAATAAATAAATATATGAACACCAGATTATTAAATACAATATAAAATACACAATAAAATCCTATAAATAACTAAAATGCTACATATATCGATGACAAGATGCATATTTAAAATACTACATACTGTATGGACTCACACCTGCGTAATTAAAAACCAAGTAAAACCAAATAGATACAGCATTATTAAAACTACATAAACAGTCACTATTGGTTAAAAGCATAGTCAACTGCAATATCAGAGATTAGTTTTGCCCAGATTTTCTGTGCTGCCAGGGCAAAAAGAGACACCTTGTGAGTAACCACAGGTTTAGTGTCAGCCAAGTGACAGAAAATCTTTTTGGACAGTGTTGGTCTAAAGGAGGTGAAGAATAGACCCCAGGATTTCAGTTCTTGGTTCAGAGTACAGAGGACAGAAAAGCAAATAGTGAGGCAGATCCTCAATTTCTGGGCCCCCGTAAACACATAAATGAAGAGCTAGAGGGGTGCCGTGTATCTGCCATCAATCACTGCTGTGGGCATACTTTGAAAATGAAGGGCTGTGAAGGCTTGCCGAATGTTTTGGAAATGTGAGACTAGTCAGGTAGATAGCTCTAGCATGGTCAGGTTTGTACAGTCTAAACCAATGGGAGAATTTGGAGGTATCAATAGCTTGCCTATCATGGTGGACACAGTGATTAAAAATATATTCATGGAGCTTCTCCCTTGAGTTCAAGATAGAAGGCTTATCAGACAGAGTGGGGTGAAATTCCAGCAGCTTCTGGTATCTAGTATTCCAGACTTTGCACTTGCTAGATGTTCAAAACATCCCTTGGGGAGAACCCTAATTGCGACTTCTACATTTCTCCAATAATTAAATAGGGTGAAATGAACACGTGATCTAATGGAGGAGAGACCAACCTCTGCCCGGACCAAGGGTGCCAGGGTGCCCAGTGGGAGACTCAGTAGTTTCTTAAGATATGTATTCAAGAGAGCCTCCAGTTTCGCTGTCTGAGACTCATCCCATCCCCAAACAGCAGCACCATACAAAATCTGGGCTATAACTTTACTCTGAAATATTTTAAGGGCTGGGACAACTAGATGACCCCCTGCAGTGTTGTAGAATCTGACTATTGCGCCAACAGATTTCAAAGCTACTGCTTTAGTGTGTTCTATATGGGATCTCCAGGATAGTTTTCCCATGAAATGTATTCCAAGGTACTTAAATTCCTGACATTGTTCTATTTGGTGACCCCTGATGGACCATCTGTGTTGAGAGTGTCATCTTCCAAACACCATTACCTTTGTTTTATTATAGTTGATATTCAGCTTTTCTTTAGAACAATATGCACCAAGCTTAGAAAGCAGTCTTCTCAGGCCAATTTGGGTAAGTGAAATTAGAACCATGTCATCCGCATATAATAGAATGGAGATTTTCTTGGATCCTACTGCAGGTGGAAAAAATTCTGGCCCCGAGAGTGCAAGTATTATATCATTCAAGTATAGATCAAAGAGTATTGGTGCCAGTAGACACCCTTGTTTTACGCCTTTATTAGTATGAATGGGGTCAGTCAATGAGACAGAAATACCAACTCTTATTCTAGTCATGGTGTTAGAATAAAATGCCTTGATTAGAAACAGTAGACGCTTATCCATATTGGTGCTGGCCAGCTTATGCCACAACAGGTTTCTATCGATTGAATCAAAAGCTGCTGCTAAGTTGACATAGGCAACAAATAGGTGTTTGGTAGGTCCAGCAGTTACTTGTTGGGCGAAAAAATACAAGGTCAGACACTGGTCAATCGTACTCTGTACTTTTCTGATACCAGCCTGTTCTGGGTGAATGATTCGGTTATTGAATTCCTAGTCCTCTAATTTGTTTAATAGGTGTTTAACAGATCTGTCATCAACATTATTCTGTGCTCATCCCAAAATACTGTGAGCATGACCTTGTCTGCCAAAAGTTGGGCACATGCCTTCTTTGGAGGTGGTGAGTCACTGGACTTTTGTCTCAGGATCATAGCGATGGACCTAGCTCTCATCCTCTGTGATTAGTCTGTTGAAAAATCCTCCTGGTTTCCATGGCACATTGTCAATACAGCCTGAGAACATTCACCTCGTTTCTGTGAGCAGCTGGGGGACCCAATGAGCAAATATTTCATGCATGTGAAGATGGTCTTGGATGATTTTTTCAATAGGCTGCGCACAAATCTTGTCATTCTGGGCTAGCTGGTGAATGGTTACATGGCATTTTTCCAAAATAGCAACCTCCACTTGCGGGATGATGTGTTCATCAATAGCAGAGGGGGGTTGCTCTGGAATTTCCACTGAAGTTCGACCACATTTGAATTGACAATGCCAGATCTATCGATCTATCTATCTATCTATCTATCTATCTGTTAAAAAAAGTATGTAAAATTTTTGGATGACCAAAGAGAAACCAAAAGAAAAAGAAGAAAGGAAAGAAAGAAAAAGAAAGTAGAAGAGGAGAGAGAAAAAAGAGAAAGACAAGAAGAATGAAAAAACAAAAATATAGAGATATAGAAATAAAGAAAAATATAAACTTTGTTGACTTCCAGGGTATCTTCTGTGTGGATTCTTCCTTTTCCTTATGTTTTTTCTTCTACTACTGCTTTTTCTTCCTTCCTTCTATATATTTCTATTTTTGTGTTTCAGATATTCTGCAATTTTCGTCCAATCAGTTTCTTTTATCATGGTTCTCTTATTTATGGATATTAAGTATGTCAGTCTGTCCATATTTCTGATATCTGCAACCTTCCCCATCCAATCCTCTTCTTCTGGAATATCTTTCTTTTTCCAAACCTTTGCATAACAGATTCTTGCTGCCGTATTTAATAGAAATAGGAGTTTGTCAGTATTTTTGTCTATATTCTGATCGGTTATACCAAGCAGGAATATCTCTGGTTTCAGAGGAATCTTTACATTTACTACTTTTTGTAATGTGGCTTGTATTTTTCCCAATATATCTTTAATTTCTCACATGACCAGCACATGTGGAAATATGATTCTTCCATCTTTCCACATTTCCAACATTTTGTGTTTATATTTTTATAACATTCTCCTAATTTCTGTGGAGAATACCATCTATGGAGAATACCATCTATGTGACGTCTTGATCCAGTTCTCCTTTAGTTCTACTGCATATGTGTATTTAATTTTCCTTTTCCAAATTTCCTCCCATTCTTCTTTCTTTATCATTCTTCCAATATATTTTTCCATCTTTTTATGTATTCTTTTTCTTCAACTGCCTCAGTATTCCATTCCAATAACTTTCATTATTATATTTCGGTCTGATTTTAACATTGTGTCCCAGAATGTATTTTGTTTTTGAAAGCCTATTACTTTGTCTTTCTGAAAACATTCTTTTATTTGTCTGTGTTGATACCATGAAATTCTTTCATTTACTATGTTCATTTCCTGTTGTGTTTTCAATATTATCATTCCTCTTTCTTTTCTCTTTCATTCTTTGTATTTTGGCCAGTTTTTTTGTTGTGTCAGGAGAGACTTTTGGCCAGTTATTTCACCCCAGTACCCTTCTTTGTGTAGTTTCTAATGGAGAGATCCATAAGGGCATTCTCCTACATAATTTTTCCTTATATTTTTGCCAAATTTTAAAGATGGATGACTTTACAAAATGATTTCCAAAGGTTTTTTTCCTTTTTAGAGCCCTC